CTTATATCAAATTTCATGCCTTGCATCACAAGTTCGCTCAGTCAATTGCTCGGATGATCGAAAATCAACTGTATTGACCAAAAGTCAACATTTTTAAGATCAAGTTCAAACGATTATCAAGAGCTGATTATATGCGGAGGATCATCAACAATTTGAATACTTTAGATGTTATTTTACGAGTTTGACCTAATTTCAAGAAAACTTTTGGTCCGACTTTCAAGGATCATAACTTCCTCAATTTTCAACATTTTGAGACAATGCTTTTTCACACTATCATAAAATGATGTTGTCTACAAGTTTTCTTCAAGGATCATTGTCAAATTATGCTTTGAAGGATATAGAATTTATTGAAACATTATAGGTCATGTTATGATTTAGAAAGATTCTTAACTTCTAATTTCAATTCATGTCATAATGAGATTCTTCAAAGCACCATTGATTATGGTGGATTGAAGTACAAGTGAAAAAGTGTATGAAGCGTGGCATGGGGTTGAGGATTCTTAAAAATCTTGTTGTTTGCAAGTTGACTTGGATTTGAGATTTGAATCAAGAATGGATTCGTTGTTGTGAAGTTTTCTTTCAAGTAACCAATGCCATAAAGTTAAAATATCCAAGTTTGTCAATTAACATCGGGGTTCTTAATTGCAAGAGTGATTCAAGAAGGTTTATGAATTTGGAGTTTTGAGTAAGATGCACTCCAATTTCTAGAGTTATTTCAAGAGTTCAAAGTTCATTAATGTGAATAGTTCAAAATTTCAAGCATTATTCAAGACCTTTCTCAAAGTTCAACTCCATTCATCATTCATGCATTTCAAATTCAAGGACAAGTTTTGATACACATTTTTTAATTGGAATCAAATTTGAATATTAGGAGTTTTCTGTTGATATTTCAAGATTGAGTTTTAAAGGATTACAAAAAAATTCACAATATCATATGAACAATCCAAGTTCTTTGTATAAATTCGAACCGTACCTTTCATGACGCGAGAAGTAATGTTATGGATTCATTTGCACGTCAATTCGAACTAGAGATTGAATTAGGAGTTACATTAAGAGTGAAAAATGATTGGGTGTAAAATTGATTCAAGATTCATACTTTCATTCATGTGAATTTAAGAGGTTACAAGACATTTCCATTACAAAAATCATTACCATTATACTATTGCTTTTACATGGAGACATTACACCAAAAAATCACAAAAAACCCTAAGGCTATACTATACTAAACTATCCTCATCTCCGTTCATCAATTTTCCTCCAAATCTTTTTTCCAAACTTCACTCAATGCATAACCAAAACCCATATGAAACATATCCATAGCCTGCACATAAACATAACCATAATTTAAACCAATGCAACCCTTTTCCAAACAGAATTCTAAACAACTCCAAACAACCCAATTCAACATAACCAAAAAACTCTGCTACAAACTACTTCAAAATTTGCATTGTAGTAGTCCAAACTTGGTGCTGCCCCTAACCATGCTGCTCCCACCTGCATACCAGTCCAAAAATACAGCTCTGTCATGCTACCATTTATCTGTCCACAACATGCCAAAACCTGTCAAAATAGTCCAACAAATTATACAAATTCAACAAAACATTACTACATCAAGAAAGTGTGAAAGCAGCATGCCAAAACAATTCAAATGTCACCTCTTTACCCCCTAAAGTCTTATCTTTCTCACTTATAAAGGCGTCAGAGAAGGAAGAAAAAGAGGGGACATCACTAAGAATCATACACAATAATTACTACAAAATAATTTTGCTCAATACACAAAAACCAAAGAAAAACACATTCAAAACCCTCCTAAAAACTATACTACAAAACCTTAAAACCTCACCATTCACCATAACCATCTACACAACCTGATATCAAACATTCATATTGTAAACAAACTTTACCATATTTCTGCATAATCTACTTTATTCCTCCAACCTTCGACCTTCATTCAACTCTCTCTGCAAAACATTCAACAACACCTATACCAAAAATCTGCCCCAAACCTCTGTTTCACTTCTTCAAAACCCTCCCTATTAACATACCTACACACATTGATTCAGCAGAAAACACAAAAAATCTGCTAAAAACTCACTCCCAGCCTTTGCAGAAATTCTACATAAACACTCGTTCAACCCTTCATCAACACCATCATCGCAGAACTCACTTTTATTCCCTCTGTTCATAAGCTCTCTCCAACCGTAACACTCATAAACTCCCTCAAATCCGCTCACCCAGAAGCAAAGGAATAAATTACAAACAACAACACAACATTGCAGACACGAAAACTCGAAGAAACACAGTCGAACTTACCAGGGAACTTGCAATCGTTCGTCAGCATCAAAATTCTCAGACTAGCTTCAAGTTTGTAAGCTTTCTTCCCTTCTTTTCCAAATTATTACTGCCTCGTTTTAATACTATTTTGAAACATTATTGTCATAAGATTTGTATATTGAGAAGTTAGAACCGGGATGATGATATGATTAGAGAAATCGCGAGACTGAGATAGAGAGATAACAAAGATACGATTGAAATAGAAAGGAAAAATTAATTTGAATACAGAGAAATCGTGAGGAGAGGAGCGAGACATTGAGAGAGATTGGTTGAGAGAGTTTGTTATTCGTTTACGATTTATGAACATTAACTTTTTTTTGTTTGAGAGAAAAGAGGGAATTTATGTGGTTCTCATTCCCCTTGTGGCCGTTTGAGTGTATCTTGGTTCTAGGGTTTTGATAACCCGTTTAGTTTTAAGAATAGAGTTGGGTCCGGACATGACCCGGTCCAACCCAACACCCTTTTTTTATAGTTTTTATTCATGTTATAACATTTTTTTAGTACATAGGCTTTGCAGATTTGCTATCCCTTCTAAGCCCATCCGATTTTGTCCTCACTTGCCCAACGAAATTCATCATACTCCCCCCTTATTTTGCTTGCACCCTTTAGTCTTAACTTGTGTAATTTAAATTTTCTTAACTCTATTGGTTTACTAATTAATTTACTTAAATTCTTAGTTTTATATTTTCTTAATTAGTTTAGTTTTAAATTTAGTTTAGGAATTTTTGTGAATAATTATTTTTGTTAATTAATATTTTATTTTTTAGTTGATTTCTTCTAATTGTTTTATTTTCTTCATGATAAACAAAAATTCTAAAAAATAATAGAATAGGTTTTTATTTTCTTTTCAAATTTCTCACAAACAAAAAAATACCAAAAATATTATTTCGAATTTTAATTTTTGAATTTTCGTTCATAACATTGATTTGATTTAATTCCTTTATTTGATAAAATCATAAAACAGTTTCCCTTTTATTTTTTTGTGTAATTTACTATTTTCGCATTCTTTCGATTATTGTAACTGTTTACGGTTTGTAATAGTTTATTAGGCTTTTACTTCACCCCTATTCATAAATTTATACCCCCATTCCCGAAGCATTGTAATAATGTAGAATTTTATTTTTCGCACTTTACCGCATTTCCTTATACTGTATAGTAATTTGGCGTGTATGGCAGGATTTAAAATTGACCGCTAGATAACCCTAATCAAAGACAAATTAAACTTGAATCAAACACAATTTTCACACGCACACATCTAGGGTAGCCTCGCTTGTTGCCTCGGAAAAATAGTCATGTCCCTTGAATATGAGATGCTTTAGCAAAGATCCTCGATAGAAAAAGATCATAGTCCCTCGACGACCCTTCAATGTTGCCTTCAGTAAAACGATCTTAGTCCCTTACAAAAAATTTCTAAAGCGTCTCATAAGTTTCCTTCTATGACTGTACGACGACCCACGCCTGTCCCTCACATCCAATGATAAATCTCTCTACCAATCAATGGTAGACAGGCACTATCTCAAGGAGGAGGAAAAGAACAAAGACTTTTTGAGTCGATAAATTTCTCATAATTGCTTGCTCATAAATCAAAGCAATTTTCACACCTCACACTTTCAAAAACATCTTTCAAACACTTTTCAAACAACAAATATTTTCAAAACTAACACTTTGTATACATTCTCAACGATACGAGAATCATTACAAAGTTTTCCGCACAAAGGTGTTTTCAAAATATTTTCAAAAAAAACCTACACAAACATAAAGCATTTCAAAGTGAGCTAGCAATTAAGAGTCCGTAGATAACTAAAGATGAAAAGGGTCCTAACATCTTCCCTTTTCATAACATACCCCCCGAACCCAAGAAAATTCTCAAAAGGTATTTCGTGTTCTTTTCACCCTTTCCTTTATTAGATAAAAGAAAAGTCAGTGGCGACTCTTGCTATTCGCAACAATTGCGATAAACGCAAAACACATAGTCAGTTCGCCCACCATATTACACATGGCATGAAAATATATTGAATTTTTCTTACTAAATGTTGATTCATGGGCTCATATGTGTTATGAATTCCATTGTCAAGTAATCAAGAAGCATAATTCAAAGTATCAGCTTATGAATCCCTTATGGTTGATTCAAGAACGTAGATTAGAAAGTCCATTTATATGGATGTGTTCTACTTGTAAAACATTTGAGTGGATCAATATTTTAAGATTGCAAGATTCATTCACAATGCAAAAATCTCATTCAAGATTCATTTGAAATAAACCAAGGAATTTTGAAATAAAAGGTCAAGAATCCTTTGGGTTCATTGATATGGCCATATTGCTAAAAGGTTGTACTTGGTGATTGAGTCAAGTCTATACATCATTATGTTTATCGTTGTTCAAGGTTCGAGTTTCGACTATTCAAAAACCATTACAAAGATACCAAAGGCCTTTACAAGTTATGTCCAAATATCCATTCAAGCTTTAAAGTTTACATTCAAATTTCACATGGATGGCATACAAAGTGGAATTGCATCATTACAAGGAATTACACAAAATATCTTTATTCAAAAGTTACTCCATGCTAAACCCCAAATTCTGGAGAAAGTCTTCGAATACACCATATATAAGGCTGCAAACTCGTTCCTATTATTCAGAACCATCAAACTAATAAGTCCAACTCATTGTCATTTGTGATACACAAGCTGCTGTAAGATGCGTCCAATTGCTCTTGCACTGTGCATTATAATTCCAACCATAAAGACTGCAGGAAACCTGCATAATAGATACGTACATATATAAATCAACAGGTTTTCACAAGTTGAAACAGTTCCATAATAAGCGCATATTTTTCAAGACAGATTCAATGTCTAACATATGGTAGTTGTGTTCATAAAGAGTTTTATTCAGCATACTAAACCAACAAGTTCATCCAAAAAAAAATTCCATGCACATATCAGTTGAAAGAAACGAAAGCAATAAACCACTCATAACTAAGCCAGTCTGATTGGCATACCTGCAAACATTAAAATTTGGGCAGTAAACTTGAAACCCAAAAAAAAAAACCAGTCAACAAGGAAAATTCATAACATTCCAGCTCAGCATCAATTAACAAAAAAATTAAAAAATAGCTAACTGAACTAACAATATAACTGTTTTCTAACTGCTTAACCATCACAACGAAAACCCTAACCGATTTTCATTCATCAAAAACAGAATTTCAAAATATCCCAACTGACTCAACAAAACTCTAACAGTTTTCTAACAGATTTGAGAGGGGGAGGATTCATAACATAATCGGGGCTGCTTTATAACGAAACGATGATAGAAATCAGAGAAAAAGGAGGATTCTGCAGAAAAACAAAAAATGACAGAAAAGAAAACTCACCAATTTTTTTTAACTCTCTCTCTGAATTTCTTCTCGGGGAAGAACCAATAAATCTTGGTCTCAATTCTTTCTCTCTCTGAAACCTCCAGAATCTCTTCTTCATCAACCTTCACTTTCTGTGATTCCATCTCTATGTGCAACTTCAATCTTCATCACAATTCTTCAAGCTGCTCTGCAACGCACACTTCACTCATCTGCATCACAATAGAAGTTCGTAGAAGTACCATTTCAAAAGCGTACAAAGAGAGATATAGAGAGAGTGAAAAGCTTCTGTACCTTAACACGCGGGAATTTCTGGAGTTCTCTCTGTTTTCGACTTTTTTGAAGAAACCACTAAAGTTACTCTGGTAGGTAAGCCACATTAAGCTTTCATGTTTATTCATCCCTTCCTCTATTTTTTAATGTGAATCTACAGAAGAAAGAAGATATAGGTGAAACCCCTTGGAATTGAAGGCCGAAACATCTCAATCATCATCTAATTCAATATGGCATCAATTTAGGGTTTAACTCTGAATGGATTTGAAATGACTTTAACACAATTTAGAAAAAAATCAATGTGAGTTTCACGGTAAGAAATCGGAAGAGTGAATTGGCAGAAGGAATGTTGAGATGCTTGAGATTGAGTCAAATTCAATGGTTTCCGGAGTTTGTTTGCTGAGATGGAGAAACAAAGGAGTTTGCACGGAGGTGGGAAGGATCACAATGAGAGGGGTTGAGATGGACGGAACCGCGACGAAAGCAAGACAAATGTTGAGACGGAGATGTTAATTCGAGAGGGAAGAAGATGAGACAATGAGGCGAAGCCGCTGAAATATGCAGACGGTGGCATTTTGTTTGATGGTCAGAGAGGGGAAGGAGTTCTTCACGCTATTCACGAGGAAAGAAAAAGGTAACTTTGTGATTCTCATGAAGATGAATGAACACAAATTTTGAAACCCTAGTACCACTTGAAATGCACGCGTTTTCGAGCTCCTCTCACATTTTTCCTTATTTTTTACTTCATCTCATTGCAAATTTGTACAATAATGAATAAGTGTGAAATTTAAAGTGGACTGTTGATCTCATTGGGCCTTATGGCTGCACATCCTTACTGAACCCATAGCATTTTTTTTTGGCAACTAAAGTTGATTGTAACAAATATTGTACTGGTCTTATTTTTCTTGTTGCAGGTTAGGCTTAGAAGCTTACTGAACCCCCACCCCTGATTATCAAGTTAGCACACCCCTAATCATCCTCATATTTTCTTATTAAGATTTACGGCTTTTTTTCTTTCCTAGTTTTTTTTTACATTGTTTTTTATGATAAAAATGATAAAATCAGTAAAAATTTGTTATATTTTTTTTTAGGAATTAATTCCTGATTTTTTTGATTATTTGAGACTTGTGATTCACCTTTTCCTGTTTAGTTGAGTCTTATGCAGGTTCATTGTTTGATATGTGGACATGTTTTAGTTTCCGGTTGTGATTTATTTTCACATCGATGATGCTTCGACACTTATTCCATATTATTCGGTCTTTGACTATTTGTTTGTTGATGCCAACACGCCTGAAGTATTCTGGGTTTCTTTGCTTTGGTTGCGCTTTTTGTGGACATTATTGTTCGTTTGGTATTATACTGCTTCCAATTTATCTTTCCACTTTTTATTGCTTTCTAGATATCATGAGAAGTAGGAAATAAAGAGTGTGTGCTCAAAGTCTCTATTTAAAGACCTGTAGCAGGAATTCCACACTTGTTTGTTAACTATGTTTGTGTTTGTTTTCATGGGTTGACGGTCAATGATGTCACTTAATTAGAATTGAGATAACGACTTCAATCTTTTGCAAGTTCCCTTAGGGTTACTCGATTAGGATAGCTTTTAAGTTAGACATTAGGGTAGTCATCCATGCATTTCAACATAGGGTAGAGATTCCCTCTTCCATCCTTGACATAGGACCATCATTGTATGACAACACTGGGTTAGAGATAAACTAGTCTCTCTTAGATGTTTTCTTCCCGTTTTTTCATAATTGCATTTAAAACTAAAACTTCTTTTTTTGGAAAATGTATAAAAAATGCTAAGCATACAAAACCCTTTTCATGGTAAAAAATACCAACCAATCCATTTATTTTCGCCATTTGGCTTTTCTCTTCTAAGAACGTGTCGATTCCTTTCCACTACAGTGCGTGAGTCTCTAATGCTCAAGCAAAGGAGGAATGATTGAGTTTAGTATTGTCCATTAAAAAAATACAAACAAACATAATATATGAGCCGAACTACGGTGCACTGATTCCTTAAAAGGGATACGTAGGCATCTGGTCACAGGGCTTAGCCGAGCAATTTTTTTTAAATATTTCCTTCTTTCCCCTATGTTTTCTTTGCATGCATTCCCTCTTAGTTTATATCTATTAAGCATTAGATTTGACACACCCTTTGATTAGAACAACAAGAGTGGATCCCATAGAGTACTATGGACGTGAGGGGTGCTAATACCTTCCCCTCGCGTAATCGACTCCCTTACCCAATCTCTTGGTCGCAAGACCTTGATTTCCCCTTTAGGTTTTTATTTGATGATTTTCCTTTCCCTTTTATATGGAATAAATAAATACTCGGTAGCGACTTCGTTGATTTTACCACTACAGAAAAATGGCGACTTCACTGGGGAAGAGCATGTGTCGACCAATTGATGGTCCATCCCGTGAGTCACTCCCAGCTCCCGTTTTCTTTTCTTAGGGTGTTTATCTTTATTCTTTATAGCTTATTCATTTGTATATGTTTGTGCATATGTATGCATTGCATTTTATCGCTTTCTATATATCATATATTTCTACAGTGCTGGATTCTGTGTTTCTTGATGGGTGGGATGTTACTATGAGGTAAAAGGCCCAATATCCAGACCAAGTGGCAACCATAGGAACCCTAGGATTAGATTGGATATTTAATGGCTAGTTGAGTTAGGTTTCACTATGCCGTCATGTCGTACACGCTCAGATGAAGTATAAATTAGGGGCTATCATTTTGACGTAGGTGATACGGTGATAGTTTTTCAGGAGTACCCTCGATTCTGAGTTACCATTGACCTTACCCTGACCCTGACCTAGTTTTTACCAGTGAGTGGGGATGGATGATTCTTACAGGTACAAATGGTGACTATGTTCTGTTGGTGACTTTGATTCTTTGGTGTTCTGAATTGATCTAGACCTTTGATCTTATTACATACGACTGTGGTTCTATTATCAGTTCAGCAGCTATCCAGTATTGCAGAAGCTTTGATCCCACATGTTTACATATATAGCATGATAATGTAATTATCAACATACATGTTTTTCGTTTCCAAGCATCATTTCCTTGATTCCAATTGTTAAGCAAAAAATAATAATAATAAAAAACATGAAAAAATACATAATAATACCGTGGCCTAATAACAGGAATCAAAGTGTATAAACTTTTGGAAATGAGAATATGGAATTTGTATCGCATTTAATTCATCATTTTGCATTTAACTATGCATTTCATGAGTTTCCCAGAAGTCTTACCCAAGATCCTTTGGTCTTCAGAATCAAGTTGTCTCACCGGTACAACACTCGAGCCAACTCTAAGAAGAAGATGGAAAATCTCGAACAGGAGAATCACGAACTGCACGAAGAGTTTACCTCTTGAAGAAATGGAACGGCGAACTTAACTGCTTTGGTAGAGTCGTTGGTGGCTACTCAGAATCATCCACCACCACCGCCACCTCCTCATGCTACGCAACCACAACAAACAACGGTTATCTCTGAGGTTATGACAGTTCCCGTCTCAGTTGCTCCGAATACTACCACTGCTCAACATCGCATGCCTCCTGGTTATCCATGGGGAATTCCCGGAGGTTATATGCCAGAAGGATATAACCATACTGCTCAAATTTCTAAGCCTATTCAACAAGTTATGGTTTCTGCCCCTTCTACGGTACAAGTTACTCCTACTGTTAACAATGAGATTCCCCATGTTATACCTCCAGTAATGAACATTCTCCATGTTATTAATGATGTGGTTCATTATACTACTCCTCCACCAAGTGAAGGACTGGGATTCTATGATAGAATGGATGATTTCCAGGATCAGTTCAATGAGATGCGAAAGGAAATGAAGACCCTCAGGCGAAAAGAGCTATTTGGACAAAATGTAAGCGATATGTGCTTGGTTCTAAATGTAAAAGTACCCACAAAGTTCAAAGTGCCGAAATTTGAAAAGTAAAAGGGCAATACTTGTCCTCGTGCTCACCTTGTGATGTATGTGAGAAAAATGTCCACTCACAATGATGACCAACGTCTGCTAATCTACTTTTTCCAAGATAGTCTGACTGGTGCTGCATTGAAGTGGTACATAAGCTTGGATAGTGCCAATATTCATACATTCAACGACCTATGAGAAGCATTTGTTAGGCATTACAAGTACAATGTAGACATGGCACCTGACTGCGACCAACTCAGGTTTATGGTCCAGAAAGACAAGGAGTCGTTTAAGGAATATGCACAAAGATGGCATGAAGTAGCTGCCCAGGTGATCCCTCCAATGGAAGAAAAAGAAATGACAAAGATCTTCTTAAAAACTCCCAGTTCCTTCTATTATGGGAAGATGATTACAAGTGCTCCCACTGATTTCGCCGAAATGGTAAGCATGGGAGTCCGTTGAGAGAAAGTTATCCGTAAAGTCCGTTTATCCAAAGGTGGGGACCCATCAAATGGTTTTAAGAAGTAGGGTGATAGTTCTTCCAAAAAGAAAGAGCAAGACTCCTACACTATATCTCATGGTAGGCAAGGGAGATCTCATAATATGAATCAACAAGTTTCTTCTGTTAGTTCAGTGGTTCATCTAACTCTTATGGTCTCTGCTCAAAAGGCTCATCAGAAACGCAACCAATAATGTTGTTCGCAGAAGAAGGATCAGTTTGACCCAATTCTTATGACGTATTCTTAATTATTGCCTGATTTGTTACAAAAGAACTTGATTCAGAAAAGATCACCGCCAGCTATCCCAGAAGTAATTCCTTGGTGGTATAAGGCCAGTGCTTTCTATGATTTTCACCAAGGCGCCCTTGGGCATGACACTGATAATTGTTTTCCATTGAAGATAGAAGTACAAAAGTTGGTAAAAAGTGGTATCTTATCC